TCTTCCTCTGTATGGCTCAATTCACTTAGTAAGAAAATCTCTAGGTCCATCCATGTTGCTGCAAATGGAATTATTTCATTATTTTTCATAGCTGAGTAATATTCCATTGTATATATACACCACATCTTCTTTATCCATTCATCTGTTGATGGACATTTAGGTTGCTTCCATGTCTTGGCTATTGTAAATAGTGCTGCAATGAACATTGGGGTGCATGCATCTTTTCAAGTTAGAGTTTCCTCCAGATATATGCCCAGAAGTAGGATTGCTGGATCATATGGCGACTCTATTTTTAGTTTTTTGAGGAACCTCCATACTGTTCTCCATAGTGGCTGAGCCAATTTACATTCCTGCCAACAGTGCAAGAGGGTTCCCTTTTCTCCACACCTTCTCCAGCATTTACTATTTGTAGACTTTTTGGTGATGGCCATTCTGACTGGTGTGAGATGATACCTCAATGTAGTTTTGATTTGCATTTCTCTAATAATTAGCAATGTTGAGCATCTTTTCATGTGCCTGTTGACCATCTGTATGTCTTCTTTGGAAAAATGTATTTTTAGGTCTTCTGCCCATTTTGTGATTGGGTTTTTGTTGTTGTTTTTGTTTTTGAGTTGTATGAGTTGATTGCATATTTTTGAAATTAAACCCTTGCCCATCTCATAGTTTGCAGATATTTTCTCCCAGTCCATTTGTTGTCTTCATTTTGTTTATGGTTTCCTTTGCTGTGCAAAAGCTTATAAATTTGATTAGGTCCCATTTGTTTTTTTGTTTCTTGGTTTTTGCTTTTATTTCTATTGCCTATGTTCTCTTCTAGGAATTTTATGGTGTCATGTCTTATATTTAAGTCTTTAAGCAATTTTGAGTTTATTTTTGTGTATGGTGTGAGGGAGTGTTCTAACTTCATTGATTTATGTGCGGCTGTCCAGCTTTCCCAGCACCACTTGCCAAAGAGACTGCATTTTCTCCATTGACTATTCTAATATTCTAAGGTATATCCTAATTTTACGAATAGATTTTGAAATTTTAATTTAATGTATTTTTATAATTTCATAAATAGAAATGTAGCTCTAAGTTGTGGAGCCTCTTCTCAACATCACCTTCAACACCCTTAAGTAAACTATGCAGCACTAAAACATCACTTGGAGATAGATTTTTAGCTGGAATACTGACCTGTAAGTTAATTTTATCATATTGTTTGTGCTTTTTCCTAAATTTGTTGGAAAAAATTCTAAACACCATAATTTAAAAAATCTTTCAAATAATTTTTCTATATTAGAAAAATGCTAGCAATACAGTATGTTATTTTTTCTTTTAGAAAAATAATAACTTAGCTCTTTAAAATTTTTTAACAGTTACAAAAATTTCAATTTTATTTACTGCATGTAATCTGATATTTAAAACTTAAAGTATTAAGGAAATTTTTGAAAATCCATATACCACATCAGGTAATAGATTGGATTTTTCCCAAAATGTATATTTTGATTTTCTCATCATTGTCAATCACATATTAAAGTTTATTTGACTATTTCAAAAGAAACCTAAAGAATATGTTAGTATGATTATTTTAGATAATTTGAGTTGAATTGAATCTTTTCAAAATAATTGACAATTCTAGACATTATACTTGACATGTTTTTGCACTAATAATTATATTGAGAAATAATATTTGATATAAATGCCATTATGAAATAGTATAACAGTTAATTACACTCTATGGGCATTTGAGCCATTCATTTTTGTTTACAGATGTGTTAATAAAGTTCAACCTACATTTACATTCATAATTAGAAGAGGTTAAACACAACCATTTGTTCTATTCCATTTTCTAGAAACTGGCTCAGTTAACGCTATGTGTCCAACTCTTTTGTGTTTTTGCAAGAATTAGCATGATAAAAGAAGGCATGCTTATGCAGATTTAATTATATTTTTCCTGTTATCAGATAATGATTTTATTTGACTTTACTTTTTAACAAAACCCTGTCTCCTAAATTCTGTGAATCAAGGGACATCTTCATACAACATTTGTCCAAGAAATTAAATGCCCACTACATGGCACTTAAAAACCCAAGGTGTTTTTATCTAATCAAAGAAATTGTAGACTTGCTACCCTTCATGTGAATCTTTAAAATATAAAAGCAAGGCACTGAACCTTTATAGATTTAGTAAAGGAGTTAAGCTTTTGATTTCAAATATCTACAGAAACACTTTGCATTGAGTTATTTATTCAAGTATAAAGGATTTCAGTAGTTGAATGCCCTTGGATTCCATTTACACACCCACTACCCTCACCACTCAGTCCCTCTTACCCTGTTAACTCACATCTAAGCAATTAAAATCTTATAATTGTGGGGAGACATCTTTTATCTGTGTAGGGATACATTTGATAACTAAGAAAAATAAAAGATACTCTCCCCAGGAAATTACACAGGAGCATAAAAGTGTGCATGAAGTTCAAGGGCCATGTCGACCTGCTGGAGCATTTTTCCTGGAGCTTTCACAGTAGCCCAGGCTGCAGCTGACCCTGGGCCAGATAATCACTAGTCACTTAAAACTATAACTGCCTCAGGTGAGAACTCCATCCAGGCCTAAATTTAATCCTGAAAAGTCTGATCTCCCTTCCCTCTTTCCCAGTCCCTACTACCTCAACCTTGCCTGCCCTATGTACTTCCAGGATTATTTTCTTAGTCATGTTGCTGCCAGTACACACACCTCATTCCCTTTTTCTCCCCCTTAGTTATGCACAAGATATGTTTACTTCTCTTTACAACCCATCTCTGTATCATTCCCATACTGTTCTCTGTTTCCTCTCCTTGACCTAAAGTTCCACTTTTCCTTCCTGTTCCCAGCCCCACTACACACACTTTAAAATACTTCCATTATGTGCTCTAGAACTCCCTTCCAAGACTAATGGGCTCCAGCATTTTCTGGAGTCCTTTCACGGTGAGGCTGTTCACTCTCCCACATTCCAGGTTACTCTTTGTCTTCCCCAGAGCTGTTCTTAGATCACTCTTTTATGAAAGTCACTTCCCCTTCAGGGCTGGCTCATTTCTACAACACATGAAGCTTTATCATCTCCAGTTGTATCATCAGGGTCTAAGAACAATGCCTGTACACAATAGCCTGCACCATTAAAACATGTGCCTTTTGTGATACATACTTCTCTTGTGGGAGAAAAGAGTATGTACAAATATCCATTATGTTTTGACATGAATTGTGAATGAATATTTCTTACTCAGTATGGATACATAAAGTCTACTGTATAATTCTACTTGGCACTGAGCAAAAAAATCAATAGCCATATAATAAATATATTTACTACTAGGATGTCTTCTATTAGAAAATACACTTTAAGTTTCTGTTTATATCATTGAAATTGATTTCTGAAAAAGCCTATTTCTTTCTCAGCGACCTCAAGCTAAATACCTACAACACTATCCTACCTTACAACATTTTAAAATTAACTACAACATCTGTGTTCATGCTGGCTACATTTTTATCTATTCAGCATAAATATTATTTATATACTTGATTAGTCAATATAACATAAGTCCTACAGTCAGAAGTAGACTAACTATAATTGTATAATCTATATCTACAGAAGTCTTTTTCTTAACCTCATCTACTAGCAGTATTGAAGATGGGCAATTATGGTTTGTGTAACCCTTAAGCTAAAGATATTTTCTTTCTTTTTTTTTTTAATTGGGGTATACTTGTTTTACAATGCTGTGTTAGTTTCTACCACACAGAGAAATGAAGCAGAGTTCCCTGTGCTATACAGCAGGTTCTTTTTAGTTATCTATTTTATACATATTAGTGTATATACGTCAATCCCAGTCTTCCAGTTCATCCCACCTCACCCGCCCCCCCGCTTCCCCCCTGGTGTCCATATGTTTGTTCTCTACATCTGTGTCTCTATATAGCTAAAAATATTTTCATGTCATCTTTTATTCTCTCTGGGACAGTCTTGGACAAAAGATGTACCTTGGGCTAATTTTTCTTAGCATTCTCAACATATCAACATACTAACTTTTCAATTAACTGAAAAAAAAACACATTAATTTTAATCTCATAAAGCAATAAAATGGTATGTTTAATGAGTGCTTTTTACATTAATTATGAAATGTTACATTTGAAACACTGGGAAATGCTCTTTATGTTTTATTTTGCTCTTATTAACTTAGTCCAGAATCACACTATCACATGTGCCAACTCTTTGGTCTGTTAGTTTTGCAGTGGCCACTGGCCAAACACAATAACATGCTGATCTAAACTGCCAGAGAAATATGTCAAAACATCTACTGTTTTGGAAACCACTGCCTTTCTCTCTCTGTCTCTGTCTCTCTCTCTTTCTCTCCCTTCATTTCTTCTGAAAATGAAAGGTATCTTATTCTCCCATGCTCTGTTTTTGTAAAGTCAACCTTAGTTGTTTCAAAGGCAAAGGATTTTAGTGAACATACAGAGTTTATCCAGTAGTTCTAGATTATGGTGCATCTTGACTTCTAGAAACTTATAAACAAATATTTGTACTTCTTTACTGTGTCTTAAAAACATAGGGGGCAGGGAATACTCAAACCAGACTTAATGATTTGTGTCACTGACCCACTCTGAACCTAATAGAGCCCCTTCTCAGGATGTTTGTAAATGCACACAATAAAATATGAAGTTTTACAAAATAAATCAGTGTTATTAAAACAAAGTTTCATCTATGTATGCTTTGTGAGGGAGTGTGTACCCGAGGATAAACTGACACTACTCAAGTGTATTTCAATTAATGTTCTGACATGAAACACCTTGACCCAATCATCAAGTTAACAAAATTACATGAAAATATATACAATTTCATCTTAAATGTACTGCAACACTTAAAACAAAAGGACACATTAAGTTATTTTTCAGGACACAATTGTTTATATCAGTGAGACATGAACATATATAGACATGGATTTTAAAGACAGAGAACAAAATGGTATGACATAATTCTAGGGTAAACATACTCATACCTTTATGGCAGTGGATGCAATTTGAATGTGGTGAAGTCTCCGAAGGGTGCTGTCCCTGTCAATGAAATAGGAAGCAGCTAGCTGATGTAGCGTCTCCAGAGTGACCGAGGAGCTGTTGGTGCTGGGATCACTTCCTTCAGATCGTTTGCTCAGCTTCCGCTTGTCCACAAAAATTGTGAGTGACTCCTCTCCTGCATTAATAATATTTTACATTATTCCATTTCCCACTTCAAATCAATCTTTTCAACTACCTGCAGGTGAGGAAGCCTAGATTACAGCCATAATGAAACAAAAGAGTGATAAACAACAAACAGGCAGGGAGTTTTACTTTTCTTTTGTTCACAAAGATTTCCCATATACCTAGAAAAGTACCCGGGATGTTGATGGTTGTGAATACATATTTCATAAATATTAAACAGCAAGCTTTTGCAGAACATGTTCTCTAGATTTTATTGACTTTCTCATACAGTTTAGCTTACCTAACACTCATTGGGTCTCAAAGCAAATTAAGATAGGAAAATAAGTAAAACAAACTCAACCTTTACTACAGATCAGCATGGTAAATGGAAACATGACCAAGCATATTACAAAACATTAGCTGTTTTCAATTGTACCTTTAAAACGCAGAGAAAACATATACATGCATATATAGTAATATAAATATTTATGTATTAAATTCAGAGGTTTCCTACACATGGCATTAAATATTAAAATATTGTTGTTAATAAGCACTATGGAAATCACTAACCTCCATGAGAAGCTTTAGGTACTTGACAATGGATCCTCTAAGGTGAAATTTAAAGCAAATTACAATTAAGCTGCAATTTTCAATGTTTGAATATTGATGAAAAAGTATCAATGCCATTCAAGTCTAACATTAAGAACTTGCCATCCTCAGACTTCCAGATTCTTAGATATTCAACTAGGATATAATTGTCAGACTTGAAGCTTGTTCTCATTCTTTCAGAAACCCATCTGTTTAGGTGGCATTATGCCCACTGACAATTTGTCAAGCCAGTTTTCTAAAAGACCAAACAAGATTTTCTAGTGGAAGAATAGCTTGCATTTCTTCTCCAAATTAAAAATAATACCAATTTAAAAATGCCACAGCCTAACTGACCATCCAATTCTAAGTGACAGTTCATACTTCTCTGCAAGAGATCAGGTGAATTGGTATCAGAAATAAGGTGTCAACAATGTTATTTCGGAAAGTTGCATTCTCAGTTTGTACTTGGACATCAATACGCAAGCTGGAAATGAAGCAGAGTAACTAGAATTGCTGAAGGAAAAAAAAAAACTCTTAAAAATATGAATGAGTGGGTCAAGTTATCAACAGCGTTAAGTCATGTACATGATAAACAGCTTTCGGTGGGAACATCTGAAAGCAAAAAGGGAATATATATGTCAAATATTATAGAAAAAAAAATCCATGCTAATTATTTACCGCCAAAGGAGAGGATGAACTGGTGTGGAAATCTGAGTGAATACATTCTCAGAAAGACCACTGAATCTGAGAAATTCACCCATGTGCCCTAACAAACATCTTGTACATGGAGACAGAAAGAACAGCGTTGTGATAGTCTAAGAATTTATAATGCAGCTCGACGACACATGAAAGTGCTATGGTCTGAATATTTGTGTCTCCCAAAATTCATATGTTGAAATTCTGTCCTTTTAAGATGATGGTATTAGGAGATGGGGCTTGTAGGAGGTGTCTGGGTCATGAGGGCAGAGCCCTCAAGAATGGAATTAGTTCTTTTGTAAAGGAGGCTCCAAAGAGATTCCTTGTCCCTTCTGCCATGTGAAGATACAAGGAAAAATCTGTGACCTGGAAGAGAGCCCTCACCCAACCATGCTGGCATTCTAATCTCAAACTTGCAGCCCCCAGAACTGTGCTGTTTATAAGCTACCTTAACTGTGGTATTTTGCTATAGCAGCCCGAACAGGCTATGAGATCAAGAGATATATCTTCTTAAGTAGTTAAAAATAAAATGATAATGATATCTTGGTGAATGTAAATAAAAAAGGAAGAAAAGTTAATGATCTCTTCAGGACAAAATTATTAAATGAGAAAATGAAATAGACTGAATAGTGCTAAAGACTAAAACTTGCAAAACTGCTTTAATTGCAGCACTTTTCATAAAGCAGAATATACAGAAGATATAGGTTAAAATATACATAAACTGCCAGTATTACAAGACTCCAGCACACACTTCCTAGACCTAGATAGACCCAGTGGAGATAAAAATGTAATGATAAAGATATACACAACCTACTTAATAAGGTAGATCTTATAGGTAAATATTAAACTTTATATTAATAAAGAGGAAATGAAAGCTCTTTTCAAGAGTACACAGAACATTTAGAAAAATTGGCCATATATTTTGTTAAAAAAAATCCTTAGTAAATTCCAAAAATTTGAAAAAAAATATCATTTGATAAAGACTTTCTCCTTGACCAAACGTTAGACAGGCTCCTATGAGCTTGTTTCTTGGGCATGTTCTCAAGAGCCCAGTTTTAGGAAGAATCCTGTCAAGTCACTTTGGCAAGGATCCCCTACCCTGGACATATGATCATCTTTAACATCTGACCAAATTCCTCATCCCCTACCATCTCCCTGGTGATATTTGATAACCCTGCTCTGCTTTCAGCAAGAATCGTGTTAGGTCTCTTTAGCAAGAATTATCCTACCCTCTTTGTAATTTTCCATCCACTAATCTGCCTACTCTGCTCATTGCCAATAAATTCCCACTTTTCCTGGTTCTGTTCAAAATTGAGCTCAGTCTCTCTCCCCTCCTGTAAAACTCCAATGCAGGAGACCCCCTGAATAAAGTCTGCCTTACTGTTCTTTAACAAATGTCAGAATATTGTTTCTTTAACACATTTACTGACTACAATATAGTACAATTAAAAATTGATAGAAAAATTTTTTTGCAAAAATTATTTTGCAAAGCTTTTGCAAATAAGTTTAGGTGTCATAGAACACCTCCACAAAATTTTTTAAAAAAATCAATAGGCCAAGATGGTTTCACAGGAGAGTTCAGACAAAACTCTAAAGATCAAAAAATCTGATACTATTTACTTAAAATGTTGCCAGAGGATATGAAATGAAGGAAAACTTTTAATTAGTTGTTATATATTGAGTAAAACACTGACATAAATATCTGGGGAAGATTACACACACAACAACAAAAACAACAACAAACATTATTACAACTTACTATTAGTGATGCAAAATAACAAATAAAGCAATAGTAAACAGTAACACACAGTAAGTTTTAAAAATGTATATCTCAAAAAGAATAATTCTAGGAGGGCAAGGGTCATTTGATATTAGGAAATCATTAATATAATTCAGCATATTAACACATCTAGAAAGAAAAACCTTGATGTCCAATAATGCCTCAAATGTATTTGATGAATATTTATACCTATTGCTGGGTAATTTTCAGTAACTTAGGAGTCAGTGGAAAATTCCTTAAAAGGATAAAATATGTGATTGTCAACCAAAAACCAACTGTCTTACTTAATCGGAAAACTCAGAAGTCATTCCCATTAAAATCATAACCTGACAAACAAACCCACAACTGGTACTACTTTTTGACATGATATTAAATATATTAAAATGTAAATATAGGAGAGAATAAAATTAGAGTAATAGTTTTTTTTAAAAACACTTAAAATTATCTCTTTTTGCAGATAACATGATTATTCATCTGGAAAACTCAAGAAAATCAACGGACAAACTACTATGCAGAGTAACAGAACTTAGTAACTGCAGAAAATAATAAAAACTTTACTAACAACAAATCGAAATACACAAATAATAGTTAGAGGTAATAATGGATTAGCATGTACCATTTAAAATACCAATAAAAATGCAATACATATATGAAAAATTATATGCCATCCCTGAAATAACAAAAGTAAACTGAAAATGGCATGGTACTTTGTTTCAAATAGGAATATTTAAATTAAAACGTATCAATTTTACTTAGGTTAATGTATAACTTTAATGCAAATATCATTTTTTGTTTGTTTCCTTGAACTAGTCATGTTTATTATAAATTTTTTAGGTAAAAATTAGTCAAAGAAAAGTCACCAGAAGCTTTCCAAAAAATGGGCAACAGTGAGAATGCCTTGCTACATATGAATACATATTGTAAAATATGTATAATTAAGACAGTGTAGTAAAGAAGCATGAATAGACAGACCACTCAAACAGGAAAATTAAAAAAAAAAACAGTATATATGAAAATTTAGTACATGATAAGGATGGAATATTAATTCAATTGGGGAAAGGTGGACCTTCTAATAAATGACACTTTGACATCAGAATAGTCATTTGCAAAGTAAAGGATATGATTGTATATGAGGAGATATTGCAAAAAACTGGAGACATGAATATTTAATAAGATGAAACTACTCAATTAGAAAAAAAAGAATGAAACTGCATGAGTGGGAAAAGCATTCGTAATTATCACTAAACGTCTGAAAGTAATAAAATAAAAGATAGATGAATTAGACCATATAAAAAGAGATTTGTTTTTCCTAGCACAGAATCACCATAAGTAAATTTTGCATTGGGAAGAGATGTTTGCAACTTACATAAGGGACACATGGCTAATACCTCTAACATTCCAAAAACTCCTAAAACGCAAGGAAAAAAAAGAAATAAGGTTCGGGCATAAAAAATAGGAAAATAGTATTTAGATAAGAAGAGACAAAATGGCCCATATAAATTTGAAAAGGCTTTCAATCTGTCATAGAATGAGAAATGCAAATTAAAAATATATTGATATATCACGTAGCTATTATGGAATTTGCCAAAATTCAAAAATTTGACAACTTTGTCAAAGCTGTTGGCAAACTAGAAGGAAACAGGCCCTATGATATACTGCTGCTGGAGTGCAAAATGATGTAACTATGAAGAGAAATTTGGCAATAGTTAGCAATAATTGACTCTGCAATCCTACTTTTAAGAATCTATCCCAATTCTCAGAAATGCACAACCTGCCGAGACTGAAACAGGAAGAAATAGAAAATATGAACAGACCAATCACAAGCACTGAAGTTGAAACTGTGATTAAAAATCTTACAACAAACAAAAGCCCAGGACCAGATGGTTTCACAGGCAAATTCTATCAAACATTTAGAGAAGAGCTAACACCTATCCTTCTCAAACTCTTCC